GTTTGGGTACGCAGGAAGAAACTCTCTCCGAAAGTCGTCCAAGGACAATAAGGACGCTTCGTGGTTTTCGAACCACGTACGCGCAGAATCTTGCAGTGCCACGTAGACGTAGCGAAGTTTCCTGTCTTCGTTCCAACCGTTCAATCTGGCGACGCATTGGAAACCGTTGAGCCAGTCCTCGGAATCCTCGAAAATATCACCGTGGAACACCTCTGGTATTCGAAGCAGGTCCATGACGATGCGAGATAGAAATGAAGTCGCTTGGGCGGCCATTGCAGGGGCTCCAGAACTTACATCCTCCGCTGGTCTCGAAGAATCGAAAAGAGCACCAAACTCGGGCTGCTCACCTCAAAGGCACCGACTCGTGTGGTGGTGTACGGGAGTCAACTGCGCTGGCTCCAACCTTCGGGGTTCTGGGCTATGTTCCCTCACCCGAGATGGGCTTGGAATCATACCCAGCACGTCCACCAGTTTGTAATGAGCAAATACAACGCCGGAAGCTAAAACAGCTATTTATTTACGGCGAACTTGTGCCCGCCAACTAAATATACAAAGGTTGCCTCGAGCTCGCTAGAGAAAACCTCGTCAATCTCTTCTTTTGCATCTCGCTGCGTGCCGTTCCTTGGTGGTGGTGGTGGTGGTGGTGTTGCAGCAGGCGGGGTTAGCCTGGTCTGCATGGCCGGCAATTGTTCCGCTTCAGCATCTCCTGAATTTGGAAATTGTCACCACGTATCAAACAGCCCAGTGTCACGAAGGAAGACCAACAAAATTTGTTCCACGTTCCTCCTAGTTGCCGCGGGTCCTTCAGGAAAAATGACGTCATCAACTGTCTGGTGCCTATGACAGCCTTTTCGCAAGGTGCGGATCGTCGCTGCTTTTTGCACATCAAGCTGTGGGCAAAGCCAAATGAAATGTTCAATATCCCCGCTCCTTTGAAAAACCGCCAGCCTTCTTTTTCCAGCACGTGGTGTGATGACACGTGCAGCCAGCGTTGCATAGTGCGTTAATAGCTTGGCGCGTTTGGCTTGTCAGTTGGTCTGGCAGAATTCATAAGAGCAAGAAGCGGCGCAAAACTTCAGTAGGTGCTTAACAACATGCGGCAATATCAACTAAAAGTCAGTGACTTAATTCTTCCTTGTTGCTGGTGGTGGAGAGGCTGCGGCATTGCAGTTCAGTTCCAATAAACGGTACACTCATGGCGGCGAAGTCTTCGGCGGGGCAACACGCCAGTTGATGAACGACATCGTCGTTGACACGCAAGGCTGGTTGGTCTTAGGACTCGTTCGGCGTTCAACAACGTTTGGCTGAAAACACGGCGGCTTACTTGGCGGCAAAGTGGCTGTAGTAGGTTTCGGACATCGACTGCGCCATACATGAGCGGATGAGATGGGCTGAGAAGGGGGAAAAAACTTTAAATAGCTAGAAAGGATGCCAAAGCCAAGCAGCGCGTTCGATTGCTTTCCGCCGGGAACCACGGGGCAACACTCAGGATTGCTTGACCGTCTTCTCTAACTGCTGTGTCTGGAGCTGGCGCTCACAAATTTCACCATCACGTTTGTTACTGAAGAAAATCAAGGTCACAGTTTCAATTTCAAATACTGCACCGAAATATCTGCCTGTAATGTTTTGGCTTTCAAAATAGATTTTCCTTGTTCAGGCCACATTGGCTCAAATTTTCTTAAACATGGTATGTTAAGTCGACGGTCCCCTCAGACGACCATGTACTTCATTTTTATTGATTAGAAATTACGCGTGACCACTTTTTTGCCATAACCGGACTCTAAAAAGAACAAGTTCTGACATTAAGCAGACCAAGTAGAAATTTATATTTATACCTTCTGGAAAAAGTGTTCGAGGGTCCCCTGAACGCATTTTGCAAGCTTACGTTTTAGAACCCTGGCCTCAACACTGTTTATCTCGGTGCAATGATCCGGTTCGAAACTCAAATACTTATGCAGTACATCGACAGCTGCCCAGAGGTCACTGGCTGAGGTGCAGCAATGTCGCCACTTTTGAGGTCCGAGGAACTGCTATTGGCAACTGTTTCCTTTTCGGAGACACTAGTCGCAAGTTCTTCGGTGGTGAGTTCCTCAGTTATGACAAGGTCTTCATCAACGAGAGCGAAGTCCATATAATCGAACCCGCTTGGGGCAAGACTTGCATTGCTAGCGGCCTCCCAAAGCTGTCCTAAGCTCGTCCCAGTCGCGGCACCAGCTGCTGCTGTTTCTTCTTCAGCAGTGCTGCTTCTCCGCGAGAAACCCACTTCTTGGAAGCAATAAAGGATTGTCCAAGACTTCACGTCTCTCCAGGCTCCACTTGTGACAAATATTACCTTCACCAACGGCACCTTCAAATAAGGTGAGCTGTTCAGATGTCTATGAGAAGATGTTTGATGACACGGCAGCGATAATGGACTTTCAAGTTTGCCATCACTCTTTGGTCCATCGGCTGCATCTTGGTGGTTGTGTTGGGAGGCAGGAAAAGTACCTCGACAGCGCAGAGATGTGCAGTGACATGGTGTGCGCTGCAGTTGTCAAACAGAAGCAGCACTTTGCACTTCTTCAAGCTAATTACCTTGTCAAAGTCAGTGAGCCACTTACAGAAGATGTCCCCCGTCATCCATACCTTGGTGTTGTGTGTGTACACTACTGGCATAGACAGCACCTTGGCAAAGTCCCGAGGCTTCTTATGTTTGCCGATGACCGATGGCTGCGCCATCCATGTTTGGGCACAGCAACACTGTGATGCGATTTTTGTTATTGTTTCCTCATACGCATTTATAAGTCCTTGCCACGAGAGTTTTTGCTGGCAGTAACTGAAAAAACAGCCCCGTTTCATCAGCGTTGTAAATATCCCTCTTGACATATGCGTAAAAAATGTGGCACTTGTGGCGCATTCTTGACTGTTTTTGTGCCTGATGCCATGGTAGTCTTTGAATCGATGCGACCTGGATTTATAAGTCTTCGCCACGACAGTTTTTGCTGGCAGTAACTGAAACCGAGAACAAACACCAGACTTTTGGCCTGAGCACTCAGGATAGGCCCACCGAGAGTGACGTTCTTTGCGCGGACATCTACAAACCATCTGTAGAGCGCCACTTCAACATCACCGAAAGTGGCAGCGCGGATCCTCTTCCGCTCATCGTTGCCAACGTCATCGTCTAAAACAGCTTGCTGGCATTCTTTATGGTGGTCGCCAAAGGGAGCTGGGCTATACCATACTTCTGTGCAATGTCGCTCTTCTTGATTTTCTGGCGAACTTCATCCAAAGTGGCGCATTTCACATTGAGGGAGAGCAGCTTTCACTTGGCTATGGATGAGGTCTATGTTTCAGGTATCATTAGATTTGACATCGTCGAAGAGTTGGTCGGTGCACAGGGCAGGCCAAGCTGTTACCGCAGGAAAGTCCAAATGCACTGCGATGGCCCGCTTTTCACCAGTGAAGAGAGCCGAACAAGCATACAAGTGCTTTTGCTGTTCAAACTGTACTACTTTGTTTGAGTAAGTGAACCACGCCAACCACGCAAACAAGCATGACAGGCTTAGGAAGGCATCACTGGTGTCACCACGACGAGGAAAAAAAAAGCAATTTAGGAGCGCACCTGCTTCGCTTTTTCACCACGATGCGGAACAGCATGGCCCCATGGGTGGCCTAAAGGCCCACAGCGTGGGGCTGCTTTTTAGTGAAGCGAGCCAGGGGATGTAGTACGCAGTGTGACGAGACAAGATACGAGCAACCTTTTACTTGGCTATCGATTGGCCTGACACTGGAAAAAAAAAAAAAAAGAGAAGAAGCATTCGCCTGTTTTGAAAACGGCGACCGGGTTACCGTGCGATGCGGCGAAGCAAGCCTTCGCAGAAAGCCGAGTGAAAAAGCAAATGATGCTGGGGGAGGCTGCCGGAAGCCAGGAATTAGCTTTTTTCGACCGTTTCAATTTGCGTGACAGCTCAAAAGGAAGTTTGATGGCATGCTTTTTATTTATTAAAAAAAAAAAAACTGCTTCGCTATATCCACTGAGGTGAGTTGATATACTTCTTTAAACCTGGACCTGAAAAGCATTGAAAATGCAAAAGTTCGAATGGGAAATTCGCTTTATCAACTATTTCGCAATAAGTGGGTTCATTATAAATGAGCTACATTGTATATTGAACGAACCCTTATGAAAAGACATCTAGTAAGATGAAATAGTTGTTGCATTTACAACAAAGGCGTGCAAACCAAAGACATGAACATCCAGCGAAAGAAACGGTGATCATTACAATAATTTGCATGCACAGGTAAAGATGATGAACTACATACTATGCATTCACAATTATAACACAGTCACATAAGGACAAGTGAATAGATCATCAAGGCAAATTAAGTGCTTCACATATTTTCCACGACAGTTCTGATGAATGACATGCTTCATGAAAATCGAGACAAGCACAGGCTGATATGAGCAGCCACAGCACGACACATCAGGAGATAATGAAAGGCCTCGTGTCAAAACAGCTAGCAAAATCCAGGCCGCTAAAAAATGTGACATATACGAAGCACGATAGCAGAGGCTTGCTCATGATTATCAACAAGTACCGTGGTTTGGAAATATGAAAGGTCATCAACAATGAATGAGAAAGCAAGAAAAAACATCAACTTCAGATTACACATTTTTACAGTAATATCTTATACAATCACATTATCTTGTTCCGACTTGAGTGAAGCTAGGCATCAATGTTTACAATACAAAAACATCAACCCTGCCCATTGTACTTTTTTGTGTCAGAAACAAATGTATCAAGTATCACTCATGCAATAAATGAAAACCGATGATCTCAACGTATAGCTTTATCCACAGCTGCTACAGTGTTTACAAGGCCTGAATATCTGACACACAATACCATATGAACCATGGGCTGTATAAACTTTCGTGTCATGTTTAATCATCTAGAAATACTACATCTGTATTTATATCCCCTTTTTTTCTCAGCTGTTAAGGAAGTGAGAACTTTTGAGCTCACCTGCTGTCCTTCCATTCTTGTCGCACGTCCTTGAGCTTACTGTTCCGCATGTTGGACACTGAGTACACGAACACCTTGTTGTACTTCTCGAATGCATCCCGCACCTGAACGTAAGCACACAGTTTTTTTGCAATGTCACGAATAGAAAGTTGTGCACTTGAAAAATTGGAGTATCTTGGTGAACCACACTGGACAAACGATTCAGTTACGCACATCACACCCTAATTTTGCAGCCGTGAACGGCGTGTAAAATTGACATTATCATCATCATCAGCCTGACTACGTCCACTACAGGACAAAGGCATCTCCTATGTTCCACCAGTCAACCCGGTCCTGTGCTTGCTGCTGCCAATTTATGCCCGCAAACTTCCTAATCTCATCGGCCCACCTAACCTTTCTGTCTCCCCCTAACCCGCTTCCCTTCTCTGCGAATCCATTTAGTTACCCTTAATGACCAGCGGTTATCCTGTCTACGCGCTACATGCCCGGCCCATGTCCATTTCCTCTTCTTTATTTCAACTATGATAGCCTTAACCCCCGTTTGTTCCCTAATCCACTCGGCTCTCTTCTTGTCTCTTAAGGTTACACCTACCATTTTTCTTTCCATTGCTCTCTGCCTCACCCCATTTAAGCTGAACCCTTTTTGTAAGTCTCCAGGTTTCTGCTCCATAGCTAAGTACCGGCAAGATACAACTGTTATATACCTTTCTCTTAAGGAATAGTGGCAATCTACCAGTCATAATTGGAGAGTGCTGCCAATTGTGCTCCACCCCACTCTTATTCTTCTAGTTACTTCAATCTCTTGGTTCGGCTCCGCGGTTATTACCTGCCCTAAGTAGACATAGTCTTTTACAACTTGAAGTGCACTATTACCTATCTCAAAGCGCTGCTCTTTTCAGACGTTGTTGTACATTACTTTCGTTTTCTGCAGATTAATTTCAAACCCACCTTTCTGCTCTCCTTGTCTAACTCCGTCATCATGAGTTGCAAATCGTCCCCTGAGTTACTCAGCAATGCAATGTCATCGACGAAGCACAGGTTATTAAGGTACTCTCCCTTAACTCTTATCCCTAACTGTTCCCATTCTAGGCTTCTGAAAACCTCCTGTAGGCACGTGGTAAATAGCATTGGGGAATTGTATCCCCCTGCCTTACACCATTCTTGATTGGTGTTCTGTTGCTTTCATTACGGAGCAATATGGTAGCAGTTGATCCCCTGTATATTTATATATACTTCACCAACATCCTGATTCTGCAGTGTCTGCATGACGGCTGATATTTCTACTGAATCAAACGCCTTCTCGTAATCTATGAAGGCTATGTATAGTGGTTGATTATATTCTGAGCATTTCTCTATTACCTGATTGATAGTATGAATGTGGTCAATTGTTGAGTAGCCTGTTCGAAATCGTCCTTGTTCCTTTGGTTGATTGAATTCTAATGTTTTCTTTACTCTCTTAGCAATTACCTTTGTAAATAGCTTGTATACTACTGAGAACAAGCTGATCGGCCTGTAATTCTTCAAGTCCTTGTCATCTCCTTTCTTATGTATTAAGATGATGTTAGCGTTCTTCCAAGACAAGCATTTTGTCTTGGAAAAATTGACAAGCAAAGCACAAATTTGAAACACCTTTTCTTCGAACAAAGTGCTGACATGGAGTGTTGGCAAGTCAAAAGTAACAACCCTGTAACAGGAGCCCTCAAATTCCGCTAAAAACCACTAAATTAAACATTTGTGCCCAACTCATACAAAATTAAAGAAATTCTTGACTATGCTATCTGCCCTAATATAACAGTTTTCTTTGAACCTATAGAGTGAAACAGTGCAAAACTAGGGTGAAGATGACAAGATACAGTGTACAACTAGTAATTATCTGTCATCAAAGTTTTAGGTGCACATTGAAGAACACCAGGTGGTGAAAATTTTCAGAGCCCTCCACTACGGCCTCTCATAATTATTTGGTGGTTTTGGGATGTTGAACTCCATATATATTATTAAAAATAAAGCTTATAGCAAAACCACATAGTTTCTGGCCAATCCCCCATGTGTGCACTACAATGGATAAAAGGAAAACAAGGCACACTGGATTCCTCTTGTGGCACGAGGTCCCTAGCTTTTGCAGGGCGCGCGCGCACACACACACACACACACACACACACACACACACACACACACACACACACACACACACACACACACACACACACACACACACACACACACCCTGCTTCAGAAACTGCCTGACTGAACGTGTTCTAGGGCTGCTATGCTAGCTAGTAGTTCATCACACAGTTGACATTTCCATTAAAATGGTTGGAAAAAAAAATATATATATATATATATATAGTTGCAGCAAGGAAATAACGCTGGCCCCGGTAAGATAAGCAACAAAAGAGAGTACAACGCACATGTTGGCTTTGCATGGTATATTTTCTGACGTTTCGATTCGTGGACCAGCCTTTGTCAAAGTAACTATTTTATTGCTTATATATATATTATAATAAATGTGAATGATGAATGCTCTGCTATTACAGAAAACAAGGACAATGATCGGTGTTAAAACCACGACCGCGTTAAACCCATGTCTACGCCAAATCATTGAGACACGGGTCACGCAGGCACTGCCGTTCATCACCACCTGTCACTATACCGCTGCCGTACGCTGCCGGACCAACGGCCCCACCTGTTCCTGGCTCATATCAGGGCATTGGGTCTTCCTGCACTATCACACTGCCTACGTGCACGGCTTCCCATCCTACTTTGCCTGCTGCACTTTCTGTCATTACCCCATGGTGTACCTTCTACAATCAGCTCATCTGCTTTGCGTGCGGTTTTGTAAGCCATATACCATGCTACTGCCACCGTCGCAACATCCAGCCTCCGGACCGTGGGAATTCGGCAAATTACCAAGCTGCCCAGCATCCCAAATAACCATTTTTAATCACCAACTCCTTTTCTCTAGGACGGCCTTCCGACTTCCGCCAGTCATTACAGCCCCGTCGCTGGTCCGTCTCCCTAATACTTCACCGCCCTATCCCCAAACGAGAAGAAAAGTGACAGCAGCAGTTCCAGAGGCAAGAGCTGCATTGTTGTCAGCTCTCCAAGACTTCTTTTTACCCGCCAAATGAAATTGATGTGCTCGTAGAAAGTGTCGCCGTATGTGCACTTGTTGACACAGGCGCCGTCATTTCTGTAATTAGAGAAAAAAAAACTGTGCCACAATTTCAGAAAAGCCACAACGCTACTAACAAATTTTGCCCTGCGTACAGCCACCCCCCATTACATCACGCCGACGGTTCAGTGCACGGCATGTGTTGTTATTTCAAGATGTTTGGTACACTGTTTAGTTTGTCGTTCTTCCCCACTCATCTTACGACATCATACTACGATAGCATTTCTTTTCTACCCATCAGGCCCTAGTTGACTGCACTCATGCTGAACTCATGTCGACGACTCTGTGCAGAGATCTCAACCACCACAGTCACCTAAAGTGTTTACCGCAGCTGAAATCCGTATCGCGCCTTTGTCTGCCGTCCTAGTGCCTGTGAGTTCGCCTGCTGCCACTAACTCGGCACGTCTGTTCCGACCATCTATAACTCATATCACCGCCGAACAATCGTCTTCCCGTTTGCCGTCATCAACTTTTCCACGTGTACGTCTCTACTTGTCCAAATATCCTGCGATGCAACGAGTGTCTGTGGAGCTATGAGAGCTCATATTCCACTTCTGAAGACCCAATGCATCCAGAAAAGCCATCCCTGTGGAGTTTTGCAACTACACCAACATACGACACCGATGTTTTTGTGAACGTATTCCGCAAGTACATTGATTGCCCCCTCACACCTGAGCAGCAGGAACAGATGATCAAGATGATCAAGTTCCTCCAGCATTTCCTAGCCTCCTTCGTCCACCACGACCAGCCTTTCTTAAATTGAGCGTCATCATTTGTTCACCATACTGATACCAGTCAACTGGCACCATTATGACAGCGTCCATAGTGTGTGTCAACTGCCAAACACTGCATCATCGATAAAGAGGTTGATAACATGCTCCAACGTGGCATAATCGAACTGTCCAGCCGTCTCTGGGCCTCCCCAGTTGTGCTGGTGAAGGAGAACAGATCTGTAGGCTTTTGCGTGGACTTGCAACGTTTCAACTAAATCATATGCAAGGATGTCTATCCTCTGCTGGGCATCGAAGATGCCTTGGAAGGCCAACATGTAGCCGAATTCTCCTCTTTAGACCTGCGCTCTGAATACTGGCAGGTACCCATGACAGAGACCGATCATGAAAAAAACAGCTTTCGTCATGCCCAAGAGGCTGTACGAGTTCAAAATAATGCCCTTCGGCCTCTGCAATAGGCCAACTACTTTAGAGCGAATTACTGACACAATCCTTCGAGGCACTAAAGAGAATATTTGCCCTTCTTATTTAAATGACATTATCCTCTTTTAAACCGATTTTACCACCCATTTAACCTACCTCGAGCAAGCACTCGCATGTCTCTTTGTCGCAGGGCTGCAACTGAATCTGAAGAAGTGCCATTTTGCTGCTTGAAAGATCACGGACCTCGGCCACATGGTTTTGAAGGAGGGTATTCTCCCTCGGCCCTGCGAAACCTACAGCCGTTTCAGCGTTTCCCAAACCGACTACTAGGAAACAACTTCTAAGCCTCCCAAGTTTTTGCTTTTATTTCCGGTGCTTCGTCCGCAATTTCACGACAATCATTGCTCCTTTGACCAAGCTCCTCGCCGGCCCTAAAGACCTTTCAGCATGGTCTGTCGCCTGCAGCGATGCTTTGAACGAACTGCGCTTGCTCCACATGTTGCCGCCTATTCTGCGTCACTATGACCCATCTGCACCCACAGAGATCTACACCAACGCTACTGGTGTCGGGCTGAGTGGTATTCTTGCACATCGGAAAGACGACTTCCATGAGAACATCGTTACTTATGCAAGCTGAACGCTTAGCAAAGCTGAAACGAGGTATTCTGTCACTGCAAAGGAATGCGTCGCCATTGTTTGGGCGATTGAGAAATTTCGGCCTTACGTGTATGAGTGCCTTCTTTACGTTGTGACTGAGCACCATGCTCTTTGCCGGTTG